TAGCTGCCATGATCTTCTGCTCAATGCGCTGTTCGAGCGCGGCCAACTGGCTTGGCGTCGCGACAGTGGGCACCGGCTGCCCTGGTGTCTTGCGTGGCTTGCTGTATGACTGCCATGGATCGGAATGCAGCCAAGGGTCAGCTGAGGCGTCTTGGTGACTCTGAGCAAGCGTAGTGATGGTTTTGTTGGATGCAATGATGTTTGTCGTGCTCGGCAACGGAGCGTCCTTTTGTCCATCCAGCTTTGCAATGAGGATGTCACCGTGCTTCATCTGATATATCCAGTGCGATGGCTCCTGCGGGGCAGTGACTTGCCAGAAGATACCCTCATGAACTTGCATCTGGGACATCGGCTGAACCGGACGGGCATTCCATCCAATATGCTTGAACCCTTTGGAATTGGAAGCTTTGGTCGATCCATAAGGAAAAGGCCCAACCTTGTACGGCCGGAGCTCTTGGCTGTCCAAGAACATCAGATCAGGTCGGTGCTGGAGGTGCACCTGCTCTGCTTGCTCCCTTTCTGCTCGAAGCCCGAATCTGGTCCCCATGCGAACAATGGTCGTTCTTGCCTCCGTCTGACTGCGGGCAAGTCTGACTTGGGCCAGTGACTGCTTTGGCATCCAGACCACTCGAAATGCTGGGTCAGGCTTCCTCCCATCCATGGTGCGGGGCTCAGCATAGATTCCATCGACAGCTGCGCTTGTCATGAGATGGGCAGCAAACTTCTCGGTAACTCTGACCAGGAATGCGAACACTTCAGCGGGATCAGCCTGGACCCTGCCAAGTTTCAAATCCATCAATTGTCGATCCCAGACATCAAGGATATGGTCAGACTGCGGAAACTCGGCGACGTGCATGATGGCATGTTCAAACACAGCTTTGACTGGGTGAGTGAGGAAGTGCGTCCACGATCCCACCCATTCATCTCTGTATATTACCACCTTGAGCACCTTGGTTTGGATTTCTTCAACAACAAAGCTTTCACTGGGAACATGCCTCATCACTTGCTTGGCGCCAAGCTGGATCATGGCTGCGGTCACTAGCATCGGCTCACCCGTACTGGCGGACATAGCAGGAATCCGTACGTGTTCTGCTTGTGATGGCAGTCTAGGATCTGCATGATCCAATATCAATAATGCCACTCCTTCTGCAGAAATGGGTTCGGTCAAGCACAGTAGGTGTGCTACATCATTGATGTTGCACAGTGCAATCCCTTGGGCATGCGCCTCAACTTTGTGAAGCGGGATAACGGGCAACTTCTGGCCATCCTGTTGCATGAATATGGCATCAGGGAGTCTGACTTGGCCAGCTGACGGAATGACAGGCGGCTTCGGTCCCTTGTGGCCGGGCTTCTTGTTGGCTTTGGTGCCAATCGGCTTGTCCTGAGATAGCCTGGCTTTCACTGCAGCATCAAGCTCTGCAGCGAGGACAATGCGGATAGGTGGCACAACTTGGGATGCTAATGTCTTGAGATCCCGCCAAGCATGCGGACTGGCCAGTGCTTTTGCAATTGCTTCTGGTCCTAGTTGACTGATGAGATGCGCAGCACAGCTTGCAAGTCTATCTTGGCCTACACCATGCTGCTTGAGGAGCGACTGCAATAGGATCTGATCAGGTTGCACAACACCACCGAGCCTCAGGCCTCCAGCTGGAACACTGTCTTGGTCAATGATGAAGTGTGCAAATGGACTGCTTGTGCCGGAGTGACGGGCTTGGTATGGGAGGTGCCAATAGTGTAGGCAAACATCCAGTTGACCGTTTGAAAACCACAGTCGGCAGCGAACGATGTCGGGAGCATGAATGGTTCAATCAGGATGCCACAATCTCCACATGCATCGGTGACTAGACCTTGAACACGGCAGGCGAGGTCTTGTGGTACATGAAGTTGGAATTTACTATGTTTGACATTGAACGCAATTGGGCTCCAATGGCTCTGGAACAAACTCGGAACAATGCACTCTTTGCGGTCCTGACACTCTCCATATTCATGCATGCACTGCAACACCCACGTGGCAATCAATTGGCTTGGATCATCGAGAGAGTCCAACGCACTAGGTGGGCTGACATGGTTTCGCTGATTTCGGACGAGGGTCGCGTAGTAGTCCATTTCATCAGTCGCAACCAGTGGACCTTGGCACAGCAGGGCATGGAAACGAGATCTGTGAGGTGGTGTCAAAACGATGGATTTCTCGGCATGAACTGCAGTGCACTTGGGAGTCGAATGCACAGCTCCATTGGCTATGACATACCATGCTTCTGGGGTCAAAAGGCACTGGAGTGGCAATGGAATACCTGTCAGGGTAGTGACAACGATTGGCTGGACCAACAACGAGATACCGGCTTCAGCTTGGGACAGTTGGCCAACAGTGGTGCCTACTTCGACCTTTATGCGGACAGGCATGAAATCCATGCAACAGACTGTGACAGAAAACTGTTCCGATGGCATCAAGCTAGTTGCTTCATGTTCATGATCAGACATGTCAAGTTCGGCTGCATTGGCATGCGGACTGACATCAGCAGCATAAGTGCAATCTGACCAACCGAGTGAGCTTCGGCTTTCACGCTGGTCTGCCCGATTCCCTTTGCCCTTCCCCCTGGTCTGGCTAGGAACATGCCCTGAACTCGGAATCACTTGCTGATCATGGACTGATGGCCTTAGGTCATCAGCATCTGGTGACCTGACATGGCAAACCTTGTTCGGTTTGTTGGCAAAGAATTCCAAGCCCCCTGTAACGGACACAACCGTGTTTGGTTGACCTTCTGTTGGTTCGGTCTCATTTCGTTCGGCTTTTCGCTTCATGGCAGGGCGAAAAGTGGGAGCTACATGGCTAGCTACCGAGGCAACGAACTGGGGCTGAGCGGGCTCTATATGTCTGTACTGACTGCCAAATCTTACATGGATTGCTTGCTGAAACAATGAGGATTCCTTAGTGTGCACGAACGGTGCGAGCATGGCATCGCGGGCGGCAAATGTCTCAATGGCCAGCTCTAGGAGGGCCTGTTCTGCAAGCTCACTCTTGGGGGGAACACAAAACACTCTCTCAAAGGCCTGCGCGACCTGGGCAAGACGCCAAACTGCTTGAGCCGGCGAGGCCATCTGGCCTAGGGCGGTGAGGTCGAGGCGGAGCGATCGATGGTCCCTTGAAGAACCTCAGGTGGAACCATATGGAGGATGGCCACTTCATCTGGGTGGACATGTCGCATGTTCTGAATGGAGCAACCCCTGACATTTGTGACACCTTTGATGGGGATCAAAGCACCATAGAGGCCCTTCTCTTCGAGGCGCTGAGTTGTGAAGCCTCCAGACCTACACCCACATGCACATGCTTGCAATTGGGACCCCCATGCATGGAGGGCGGTCATCAGGGGTTTGGTCGGACTCACTGCATTCTTGCCAAGACCTCCCGGTTGGTTGTCAAATGCTTCGAGCTCACGTGCTGATAGGGCTAGTTCAACTACTTGGTGCTCTGGCCACTCTGCCATCTTGGAAAGCAAATGCCGAAACGATGGCTGGAAATCCAAGGCAGGAAAGCTCTTGAGCTCAGGCATCTGGACACCTGGATGTGTGATGACTGCCCACCATCTGGTGCGTTTCGCAGGCCATAGTCCCTGTAGATGACACACCTGTTGTTGAAACTTGTAACCTGCAGCTTGGCAGAATGATTGCAGCGTCTCTTGAACCCAGGTGGATTGCATGGCCTCTTTGGTGCTGGAAGAGGTAACATGTCGTGACCATGCCTTCGAAGCTCCGTGCCCGGGGGTCCATTTGTTGGCGACCATCACCAAGCTGTGAAAACGGCTGGCATGCAAAGCCTCCAGTGAGGATACAAGGCTTGGCCGTGTACGACATGAGATCACGCTTGACCTGGGTGCTATCAATATCTCCTTCAATCACTGGTCGATTGCGGTCTCGAAGCCACTGGGCATATTTTGCATTGATCTCAACATGACAACGGATGTGGCATCCGATCAGGTGGTAACCTGCTGTCATTATGGCATAGCCGGAACATATATCGATCACGTCCATTGCTCCTTCCCTATCAATCAAGCTATGGATCTGGGTATCAGCAGCCTGTGTGGTCAACACGACAGTACCTTGTTCGGTCGTCTTCACGGCATCCAGGGTCATGAAGCGATCTCCCAGCAGCTCAACCCCTTGCAGCAAAAACACGTGGCCTCGAAGGGCAGTGGTGCAGTGGTAGGCGCCCTTTGTCGAGTCACGATACCAAGCCCTGGCAGCGACATTGACAGATGTTCCATCGGGTATGGTACCCAACCATGGCTCCGGATCAAAAGCTGGCATGACAGCCCCCTCGCGCTATCAGCCAGCACAGGCGCACCGCTGGTAGGTACTCGAGCCAGCGCCTGGCATGGCCTCCAACCTAATAGCAATGGCCTCCAACCTAATAGCGATGGCCTCCAACCTAATAGCGATGGCCTCCAACCTAATAGCAATGGCCTCCAACCTAATAACGATGGCCTCCAACCTAATAGCCATGGCCTCCCACCTAATAGCAATGGCCTCAACCCTCCTAGCGATGGCCCCCAACCTAACAGCAACCTAACAGCAATGGCCTCCAACCTAATAGCGATGGCCTCCAACCCAATAGCGATGGCCTCCAACCTACTAGCGATGGCCTCCAACCTAATAGCAATGGCCTCCAAACTAATAGCGATGGCCTCCAACCTAAGAGCGATGGCCTCCACCGTAGTACCGATGGCCTCCAACCTAATAGCGATGGCCTCCACCGTAGTACCGATGGCCTCCAACCTAAGAGCGATGGCCTCCAACCTACTAGCGACCGCCTCCAACCTAATAGCGATGGCCTCCACCCTACAAGAGATGGCCGCCACCCTACTAGCGATGGTCTCCACCCTACTAGCATGGCCTCCAACCTAAGAGTGATGGTCTCCAACCTAATAGCAATGGCCTCCAACCTAATAGCGATGGCCTCCAACCTAAGAGCGATGGCCTCCACCCTACTAGCGATAATGGCGCTCCTGCAGCTCAGCCTTCCTGAACTGGTTCCAGATGCTCTTCTCATCCTCGAGGAGAATGTCCGACCAACCCAGGATGTCCCAAGGCTTCTCAGCCGGAGGCTTGCAAATGTAGGTGGTCAGCCACTCAAGGCACATGATCGTAAAGACCACCTGTCATCTTCAAAATCTTCCTTCTACAAGTGTCTACATCTCTACAAGTTCAGATTTGACAGTTTAGGGCCTAGGGCAGGTTTGGACTTTAGTATGGTCCAGAACTGAACCACTGCAGGAATCCTTGCGAATTCATGGCTCACCTGGATGGTTTCGAACGGTTTCAACAGTTTTAGAACGACATTGTCTCGTTGGCCAGCAATCTAGCGACCTGCCAGATACCGCCCATGGGCATCTGAGTAAGGCTCACCAAGGGATTGTCATCCAAGTGAACTCCAACGGCATAGTCTCCGATGATGTGAAATCCGCCGGCCACGTGAAACCAACCGATGACCGCCAGCATGGCCACACGTCCATGCTTCAGCTCCTGAGCACGGAGCTGCAAGATCTCCTGGAACACAAAGGGAGATGGACAAAATCAGAAGAACAATCAAGAGAACCAACGTCAAGAGCTACATAAGTTAACATCCTGTGATAAATTCATATTAATACATGCACATTAATGTTCTGACATTCCTTATTGCTTCTTATATTACTTTGTGAGCTTTCTAGAGGAGTCATGGCAAGTCTGCTGTCTTTGAAGGTCATTTCAGGGGTGCATCCCTTCCAGAACCTCGACCACCTGTCTCTGCAAAAAGTATAGCGTAAAAAATTGTCTAATCTGGATTCGGATCTTATTTATTTATATTTATCTTTTTTAAACGACATTTTTGCAGTGCTTTCATCTCCTCCTTGCTCTTCTTTGCAGTGATACCTGCAGGATCCCAGTACATATCAGCCAAAGGCCCGCCTGTGCCGGCAATGCACTCTTGTGCTGGAGTCAGCGCGCGCAAAGGGGAGTCGGTGTAGTTGGCCCAATCACCCCAAGCAGATCCTGCTGGAATCATCGCACATTCGAACTACGTGACAACCAGGGGTGCTCCTAGTAGCGATGCCAGGAGCCCCTAGTAGCTTCTTGTTCCTAGTAGTAAGGCCAGGAGTCCCTAGTAGCTTTGAGCATATTGCTGCCTACTTCACGAAAGCCTTTCTCACCGATTACCCTTTTACTGTCATCACTTCTCTTTGCAACGAAGGCAAGACTGAAGAAACTGACTGGCGACTGTAAGGAAAGGCACTCTTGGACGTGAAATCCTCTTAAGGTCCTGTAAGCCCATCTTGGAAGAACATGCCAATGATGGCCATCATCGCCAAACGTCCATTGGCGATCTCGGCGGCTAACTTCTTCTCCTTGGTGCCCTCAGGCGCCTTCACAAAGCTGTTGGGCACACCCAAGAAGCCAGCGTTGGCGAAGTCGCCCGGAGCACGCTTGGGATCGTCGGTGTATTGGAAGAGCTCCACAGTGCCCGCGAAGGCCACCATCTGAGCCCAGCCACTCAAGGGCACCTTGCTGAAAGCGGCGAAGCCAGTGGGCACATCGCTGAACTTCAGGCCCAAAGAAGGGGAAAGGTCACCTGGGTCGGTCTGGGTGGGTTATGGTTGGTTTGTGAATGTGAACGACTTGTCCTTCTCACTCGTCTTTCTCATCTTTCTCCCTCTTTGCCATACTGTCAACTCTAGACTCCAGACCCTTTTACCAACAATGTCCCTTTAGCTACTAGCGATGGCCTTCAATTTAATAGCGATGGCCTCCCTCCTTTTCTTTCAGCGACATGATGTATTACGCCCTCCCGGCCTGGCCAACGATAGTACTCTGGCACAATGTAGCCCATGCATGCGAACATGGCCACACGGCCATGCTTCAGCTCCACATAGCGACGACGGCGGAAGGAGGCGGCGTCGTCAGTCTTGGTAAAACCCAATGGATCCCAAAAGCCCACGGGCGGCTGCACGCCAAGCTCGCTCTCGAAGGCGGAAGAGCCAGTGTAAAGCCCATAAGGAGTGCCGAACAAGCCGTCCTACATCAAGATCAACTTCCAACACAAAACGAAACATAATCAACTCTCTATAATTTCTTTAAAAGCTATTACTCTCAATCCCTTATCTTGTTATATCGACTTATCCTCATCAGAGTTTTCAAACATGAAGCACTTCAAATCACTTCAATACCACAATCTTCCCATCTCCTGCACCCAAAGCCCAACGATGGCCATCATCGCCAGGCGTCCGTTGGCCAACTCCGAGTTCAAGGCGCGCTTTCGCGCCTCAGCGTCCTGCATGGGTTCCGCAGAGATGCCCAAGACCATGTTGCCATAGCCGAGCTTTCCCTTGCCATAGTTTCCAGGATCCGCAGGGTCCACTGGAGTGTTCACACAGAACTCATAGCAACCACAAAGGGCCACCCACTGCAACCAACCTTCAGCAGGCACCTTCGTGATAGCCGCCAAGCCGTTGGGCACATCTGCGAACTTCAGGTTGGCAGAAGGTGCCAAGTATCCCGGAAATTTGAAGTATTCCGGAACCATGTATCCCATCGTCGCAAACATGGCCACCCGGCCGTTCTTTAACTCGCACTCCCGGCGACGACGGAAGGTCTCCACATCGCCATCCTTCGACAAACCCATGGGGTCGAAGTAGCCCAGTGGCGCCTGGACTCCCAGCTCGCTTTCAAAGGCGCGCAAAGGGGACTCGGTGTAGTTGGCCCAATCACCCCAAGCAGATCCTGACAACAAACACCCACACACACACACAAACAACAGGATGACATACAACAGGATTTGAAAGGATCTCTGAGATTCTATGAGTATGATAGCAATCTGCTTGGGAAGATTGCTCACCTTACACAGCATACTCGACGCAATGCACATTGCATTCGCTTCTCAGAATTCTTAACTCTCAGCTGACTTGCTTTTGAACCTAGATACTGCATCATGCACACCCGATTGCACCTAGTGGCTAAACAGAAATGAGATCGAACAAAAAGATACAAAAAGGCCGCAAGAAGGGTCCAATGTAGTCCTCAGTAGTCCTCGAAAAATGCTCAAGAAGCGAAGAACACTTCTGGTTTGAACCCATCGCCAACCCTTAGTCCTGTAAGCCCATCTTGGAAGAACATGCCGATGATGGCCATCATGGCCAAACGTCCATTGGCGATTTCCGCGTTGAGCTTCTTCTTTTTGATCTCAGCATCCTCGATGGCCTTGCCACCCAAGTATCCTGGAAGGCCCAAGAAGCCGTATTCGTAGTTGGTGGCTCCCTCACCAAAGAGGCGAGTGCACAACTTTCCCGGAGGGTTGGTTGGGACCTGGTGCATCAGCCAAAGGTCACAAATTCCGCAGAAGATGGTGTACTGGAACCAACCAACTGCAGGAACTTTGGTGGCTGCAGCAAGTCCGTTGGGGATATCCGTGAACTTGAGTTCGCTGGAAGGAGAGATGAAGCCGGGGAATCTGAAAAACTCCTGAACAATGTATCCTCGGTCTTAGTCAGCTCAGTTGAGAGTAAAACATATCAACCATCGTGCTCCATGCAACACATCATGTGGTGTTTCTCTTCGTCTGCCAAGGCTCCTGTGCAAGCCAACATGGAAACTCGGCCGTGTTTGATCTCAACAACACGTCGGCGGTAGAATTCCCTGGCATCTCCGTCACTGGAGAGCCCTGCGGGATCCCAAAAGCCCAGGGGCGCCTGCACGCCAAGCTCATTCTCAAAAGCAGAGAGCTGCGTAGCTGTAGCACGTTTGCCGTTCTTGGTGTCCTTGCGCAGCGCAGCGACAGCAGTGGCGCCCAAGACCACACCCACCGTGCTCATCATAGCGCTGGTACCGTTGGAAGCGGCAGCTCCCCGAAGAGCGGAGCGAGCGGATCCGGGTGTGGAAGTGGGTGTGGAAGTCTGACGACTTGGCAAAGCCACAAAGGCAGTGCCCGCTACAGCAGCGACAGCCGCTGTCTTGGACATCTGAGGTGCCATGGGATCGTTCGAGATGGCACCAGCTGTCGTGCTGTCTTTGTCTGGGCTTCAGCCAAAATGGCTGTTACTAGGAGGTAATGGTAGTTTGTGTGAATTGCATTGCTAGATATTCCTAGATGTCTTGCTCAACGTCAGCCGAAATTCAGGCCTTGAAGCAACACGCAGCTCCAGCCTCCCAGTCCTCTTCACGATATCTGGAAGCAATGGGTAGCCGCGTTGCAGTCGCAGCTGCCTAACACGGAAAAAAGAGAAGCATCAAGAACCAGCCCAGCCTAAATTTAAACACCAAGCAGCAAATTGTTAGCGAATGCATCTTTGTTTTCTTCGGTGCCATACTTCCTAGACTATGTGCAACTGAGGATGGCCTGCGACTGCGACTCTCTTTGTGTTGGACAAGTTGGGAGTGACAGCATTGACGGTAATTGAAGTTGCCAAAAAAGGACACCCACCCCTCCGACCCCTCCACTCCAGTGAGATCAGATTGCACATGATGAATTTTGGTTCACAATTTGTCAACCCACGCTTGTTGCCTGAAAGCTCCCCCTTGCTTGCAAAAGTTTCACAACATGGATTCACCATCCTCTACATTGGATAGCAGTAACTTTGCCACAGCACGTTCAGAATTTTGAAGGACATATTAAGAGGATTGCACAACATCTGCTTTTTGGTCAGGCCTGTTGCTGGGCTTCAAAAGGAAACGGAAGGGCTGCTTTTGCAACCATTTGCCCAAAGCTTTGGCATGTTCCACAGACCGAAAAACATGTCATTCTGTGAACAACTTCTAATGTCTCCGACGTGCCAAGGGGCTATCGCAGATGTCGGAATGAAGTGTGCGGATGTCGGGGAGCTTGGCTCAGCTTGTGCCTGTTGGCAATGTCTAGTGGTATCCAGTCCTAGATACCTTATGCACGTCAAGCTTGCAAACCTTCCGACATGTCCAGAGATGCCCTCTCAGAACTCCAAGTGATCGTGTTCGCTGCCAACCACACTGCTTCATGTTGCTCTTTTAGCCGAGGAGCTGCTTCCCAATTCATGTGCCGCGGAGTTAATCTCACGGCACCTGACAGAACGATGAGGCAAACATTCGCTTTCTCTCTCGGCGGGTCAAGATCAGCTCAAGTGACAGCATTCTGTTAAATCACATTCTTGAACTTTTTGATCAACATGAACACAAAGATGAACCTTGCGACAGAACACTATTTTTTCTATTCTATCTTCTCTGTCCTTTCAACTTGTTCTTGAAGATGTTAAAAGCCTGTTGGCCCTGAAAACACACCTTTTTCGCGAGGGGTAAGGTAAGGGTTGCTGGACATTGCTGGACTGACATCCCACGGTGCTACCAATAGGAACCTTGTTTGCATCTTCTGTGGGTTTCTGAGTTTGACCTGATTTGACAACTTCGAGCTTTAACGAATCGATTTTCGTTGGGAAAAGGAACGTCGCCAAAGAAACCGTGACTTGGCACGTCACATGCCCACCTGGACTCAATGGGCTTTGATCTCCCACGCCTTGGAAATGGGCCTGAGCCAGTGATGAAAGTAATTACATGACGACCATCGAAATGATTCGGTGTAGCTATCTATTCTTTCAGCAAAACAACTTCTTTATCTTCTTTCATTCTTTCCTTTAACTCTTTCAGCTGGTTTGAATCTAACCCACTATGCGACATCACCGTGTTGGGAGCCCAAGGTTTTGTGAAAGCATGATTGCTTCGTGCTCTGTGGTGGGTCTGCAGAACGTGACCTTTCGGGGGTTCCGCACACGGAACACACTTGGGTGACATGTACTGAGATGTACTGAGTACAACACGTACTCATCAGTTCAGCAAAGTACTCGTTGGTTCTTGAAGACAGTCCTGACTGTCTCCTTCCGGTGTGTTTAGACTATCCGCAAAGGTCCATCCTGGCCTCAGGCCGATCCAAGAACCGTGGTGACTGACCACCTGGGCTTTCAGTGAAAAGCTGGAGTGATTTTGGTTCTTTGCCAAAGAACCAAAGAACCAAAGGGAAGCAGTCAACACTTTTACATGAGTTGAATATGGGTCAATGACTAGCTGAATATCAATTCCCCAAGGTGGGTGCCAACGTTTCCTTTACCTTCTCTGTTGTAGCGTGTGGGCTTGCTCCTGTGACTGTCAAGTTACACTCTAGACATCTCTAGACTCCTTCAAGCACGGTTTCATCACCTTCGCTTCGCTGCCCTTCTTTTGCTCAAACTTCGATCAATCCCATACAACGGCCATCTCGCTCGTTGTACTGGAGACCGCGTCGCTCAAGCCGCTGGCTGACCGTGCTTTTCCATCGGTCTGCAGTTCCACACGTCGAGCATCACGGTGCTGCAGCCAGAGTTCCACCTGAAAAACGATGAGAATGGGGTGGAGGCCGTCCAGTTCCATCCCGGTGCAGGTCTCACGTTGCAAAGGGGGAAGGACCATCCCATGCACCACATATGCCAAACTGAGAACACCGAAGGTCTGTTCAAAAAACATATATAAATACACAACTGACCAAATACAGTGAAAATTTCAAGCTGTTTGCAAACCAAACTCCAACATCAACAAACCCTAGCAAGAACGGCCTTATAGGCTCTCATAGGATAATTTAGCTTCCATGAACCATGCACACAGGACACACCAAAAAAGTGAACAACTTTCTACCTATCGCCTGCGGGTATCCTTTGGGACATCCTTGCGAATCGTTTGGGTATCACTTGGGCGGACCTTTCTACCTCCCTTCTCTTGCGAGCAAAGCCTCGCGGAATTACAGATCCATGAGTCTGTTTTGTCATTCGGTGCGATCAATGAGGGTTGAGGGGTGGTGTAGAGCTTGTGACACTTGTCGTTCATTTTTTTGAGGACACATTGCACAAAGGACCAGCATATTGAAGGATATTGAAATGTTTCGACTGTATTTTCAACCCATGATGACATGCCCCACCTGCTCAGGCCCATCTTCGTAACTTGGCAACTTCAATGGTGCTAGCAGGGGATGGCGGCGAACATCTGCATGCTTCATCCGAGCGTGTGGCTGTTGCAGCAAAGACCAAGTGAATTGTCCAGCAAGCTGTGCTTGACCTACTGGATCTTCAACTCCTTGCATGCCTTGGCACATTGGCAAAGGACCAATGCATTTACTGCGTTCAAAAACAGTCTCTCTGGAAAACAATGACATCGAAACACACCGTTATCGTATTTACTTTCCGCTTCAGCCTATCGGGCCTATCGCCGCTGAGACGTTCTGGCCTCGAAAGGGAGGAAAGTTGATCTGGACGCAATGATGAAGCTGGGCCCAGTCGTGGAAATGAGCCGAAAATTCCGGGCGCTGAGAAACGGGAGGCGCCGTGTTGTGCATCCCTCCGGTGAAAATCAGCCAGGTGACCACGCCTAAGGAATAAAGATCTGCACCTGAGGGCGGCTCGTAAAACCTAAAGATCCTAAAGAAAAAAACACGGTAACGTAGCAACCACTTTTTTCCAGTCATCCCGAAACAATATCAATTAGACAATGGCAGAGCTTTGAGCCCTTCTAAAGAGTCAACAGTGCAACCATTCTATCGTGCAGGATTGCAATCCCCTTCCACTACGTGCTCCATGTAATGTTTTCTAAAAAAACAACACTTTGCACATCTTTTGCACCTTCATCATGTGGATGTCCATACAAGACCTCTGGTGCACAGTAGCCCACTGTTCCTGCCGGATGACCAAAGGAGAAGTTCCCAGCCGATGCACCGAAGCGACCCGCACCAAAGTCCGCCAACTTGGCACACAATGTCTGGTCGATCATGACGTTCTCCGGCTTCAGATCCCGGAATAGAATGTTGAGCCTGTGATGCATGTGCTCCAGTCCCAGGAAGATTTGACCCAGCCAATTCAAAGTTTGAGCTGGTGGAAGATAGCCGGAACCTGATGTAAATGCATGCTCTTTGGCTTGCAAGATTTGTCGGAAGAGGTTACTTGGGCAAAACTCCATCACCAAGGTGTAAAGCTGTGAGGTCTCATCGAAGAAAATCATGAAGAGCCGCACGATGCAGGGATGTGGAGTTTGCCGGACACAGGTTGCCACCTTGACAAAACGACACACCCGCTGCCTGGCGAAAATGACTCACCACTACTTAAACAAAGTGACAGCGTTTGCGTCGGCCTCGCATTCTCGGGCTACCTCAGGTGGGACGCCCCGATCGGCGCTGCCAGAGTTGCTGCGGAAGACCTTCACCGCGTAGTACGGCGAGCTCTGCAGCCGGTGCTTCGCGCGGAACACGCGGCCACCTGCACCTAGAGCGATGCCAAACACAGCCAAATTCAATACCTTGTTTGACTCACTTATGTACGTCACTTATGACTTAAATTGACCTCATGAGACCGATCGATTCCCTGGCTTCTACGTTTCACACCCTTTCTCGTATTTTGCCGCAAAGATCCTCGTATCCCGCTTGGTTGTCCCCTGCCCGTGGTTTCTTTGTTCAAGACGGGCCGCGAACAAACATGAAGCGTACATTCCAAAGCAAATACAACTGCGTGAAACAAGAGCTTTGGCAAGGAAGGATGCAAATTGGTGGCACTACAAACTTTACAGGCAACATGCTGCAAAAGCAACAACATTTTAGGATGGAACACAAGAGCGGCAAGCAACGTTGGAAAACTGGAAAACAGGCTGGGATTATTTCCACTTTGACACCCACTCCACATTATGTCCACATCATTTCACTTTGAGCTAAAAGCATCAAATGAGCAAAATGAGCGAAGCCTCGAAATGTGCGAAAAGGAACATCAACCATCCGAAGGACGCTACTAGGGGCTCCTGGCCTTACTACTAGGAACAAGGTTCGCTACTAGGGGCTCCTGGCATCGCTACGAACGAAGCTTTTTCTATTTCCAAATGAGGAAAACCATTCGAACATATCCGAACCTTCTCCAATCAGCGCTTGAGTGGCGCTGCATTTCTCGCCGTTGGCGGTGATGGGCTCCAAATCCTCGACAGTTGAGATGATTGATCAGGAAAAGGGCCTGGGTGTTTCATGATGTTTCCCTATATCTCAACCACCCAGCATATTGGTAGCAAATATTATTCTGATCCAAACTGTTATTCGAGCCCGACATTGCAGGGAGTGCATTTTTTCGTAAGAAGCCAATGTAAAAGCCTGGTTGTCAAGACAAGCATATTTCTACTAGAGTGGGTTGCTCCCAGCTCAAGTCTATATCCACACACACACACTGTTAATTCGTACCAACCACAAGGCCACTTCGATTCGATCCATGCTT